ATAAAACGTGCATGTTCTGTACTTGCATGCATGTACATTATATGTCTCCGTAAAACCTTAATGAAGCATTACGAGAGCTGATAAGAAAAAATAAACGGAAACCTGCTCGCAAAAAATTACAAGTTTAATAGAAAATAATTATTTGTTCAAGGTCAATTAGTTGTCCAATGGAATAAGTTACGCATGTGTGTCTCAATCTACATACTTTGGACGCGCGTGTGAATGTGGGATTTTGTATTGATGTATTCTGATAAAACGCTCGATATTTGTATATTTGGGACGTATACAGTTGTACATTTTAAGGACGCCGACAAAAGAACGTATATTGACTTACATACATGTACATTTAACTTAAGATATAAAAAATCTATCACTAGTAGAAATTAATCAAAGGAGCATATTTTCGATGGTATTTGAGGTGAAACAGATCATGACCTCGATATCGAGAAAAACATTTGCTATAAAAAAAAATAGTTATAAGCAACTTTCATTTAATTCAGCAAATAAATTATTGAATGAACTGCACTAGCGATATAATCAGTCAAAGATACTATGAAATAATCTGAAAGATTCAACATATTAATTAAATTTATCCATTCTGTGGTTTCTTTTGTGTATATGACTGGGGGTCGCTGGATAACACGCCGATTGATTCCCGGTGACCGACTTTGCCCCGCGTTATCGAGGGAGGCGCGTTATATAATCGTAAACAAACAAGGTGAATGTAAAAGGCGTGCACTTAATGGCTGTGAATAGTATATGCTTTACAGTTATGTTTTATTTTCTAACTATATTGTTTGTTTTTATATGATAAGAAGAAAAGATGATCTTTTCTTCCATTTTTAGTAGACTTGATTTATACGATTTAAAAAAAAATGAAATAAAAGGGAAAATTGTCAGTGAATAATCATGATAATTTGGGGGAAAAACACAAAACACTTAAAGAACCTTATTCTAAAAAATATTTGCATCCAATGTAGCCATGTTTATCATTTATAGTAAGTTTGTTTTGGTTTACACGCTTGAGGAGCTCGCGTTTACGTGCTGAGTGAAAAGAATTACCTGTACATATATGGGTCATGTATCTAGCTCATTTAAAACAAGACTCGAACAAAACAATTTCATGAGATAATAAGATGTTAAAGCAAACCTTCATAATCGACAGTCATTCCGAAATATTTACCTTTTTTGAGTTATAAAGCAAAAATTTTCAAGGACCCTAGATCCCTAATTTTAGGAACCAGCCCCTTTTAAATGATATTAAATGAAAGCTCGTGCAATTATGCACAACTTTTATTCTACATGTCTTAACAAAATATTTTTAGTTTTCAAGATAAAAAGGAAAATATGTGTTAATTTTCGCTCTTTTAGGCGTTCTAATTTTTGACCCCTGTATAGCGCCATTTTGAATACAGAAATCGAAAAACAAAAACCGATGTGCACAACTTCAATCCTTCTGTTATCTAAAACCAGTAAAATTTCTGCTCCAGCTTTTGTGGTCTCTGAGCCTTTGTCTGGAAATGAAAGTCTATAAATTTTCGTTTAAAGGGAAATAACTCAAAACCGGAAGTGACTTTTTGAAATTTTAGACAGCATTCTGATAGAGTTTATTATCGTCTATAAAGTCTGAAAATTTGAGCAAAATCCATTGAGAAATGAGTGAGATATGAGGCCTCAAAGTTGGCGTCTAGGAAGAAAAAAAAAAAAAAGAATAATAAGAATAATCTTAATCATCAGAATCAGTAGAAGGTCTTCCGTTGGAAACGGAAGACCTTAAAAAGTTGAAAAGAAACAACAGAAAAATAAGAAGGTCTTCCGTTTCAACGGAAGACCTTAATAATCTTAATCATCAGAATCAGTAGAAGGTCTTCCGTTGGAAACGGAAGACCTTAATTAACACTCGAGTGGAACAATGGATAAAGCGTTTACTTTAAGGTCGCCATGTCGGTGTGTTCCCCGAATGGCTACTCGAAAAAAAACCCACAAGTAATTATCACACTCAATTAAGGGGCCCTCTAAGGGGTACAGGTAGACTTACCTGTGTTTACCTGGATAAGCAATATTTTATAAATCAGATATATACATTCAATTTTATTTTAATTCAGAGGGGTTTCTATTTTCCGAAATATACTGAATACAAAAATAAATACAAGTAGGTAAAATGAAGATTTAAGAAAAATGAAAATTTTATTGTATTTTTACCTTTAATTTAATTTTTTTCCCAAACTATTAATAGTATTGATTGAAAACTTACAAATTATTATCCCCTTTAATATTTTTGTTTAATTTATTTATAATTTTTAATTATCAAAACATAGTGCAAAAATACAGTACAAGCTGTATATTAAAATCTAATGTTGTACATTTAAATCTATTACGATCGATAAACTTACAAATTATTATCCCTTTTTTGTGCTAGATTTTCAAACTCGTTTTGATAAATTAACACAAATGTTTTTTTTTTCTTAAAATAATATATAAATTTAAGTTTACTTAAAAATTTTTATTGTAATCAATAAGTGTCCTCCTTGAATGTGAAAGTCTGAAATACTGTATAGCTGTGCTTTGTAATGTTAATTTTGTTCCATGTCTTACCGTGGTAGGAGAGGCAGAGATTGACCAATCAAAATCTGACCAATTAAAATCTAACAAATGAAATTCTGACCATGCGGTGCGTTACTCTGCCTTTTCTCCCATCTACATCCTTGGAGGACGGACGTTGTTTCAAAGTTTGTTATTTATTTTATCAAGATTTTGGTGAGTAAATTTATTTCATTATGTCTTCTATGAGTAAAACTTCAGTTGTCATTCTCGGACACTCAATTGTGCGTCGTTTTCAAGAATTCTTGAAATATGGTGACATTAGGTATTCTGCGAGCCTTGGTCTGGGAGAAACGCATTCCGTTCTGTACAGGGGTGTGGGTGGAAGAAAGGTTCGTGATGTAATATCTAAGGATATGGAGAGCGTATTTGCTTTAGGTCTAGATGTAGTTGTTCTAATGATTGGGGAGAACGATATTAGTCCTAGTACCGACGCTACCTTGTTAGCTGCAGAAATTGAATCTGTGGTATCGGTAATGCATCGCCGCTATAAAGTTGCAAAAATAATTGTTTGTAAATTATTGCCGCGATTTGGTGTTCGTTTTGGGTACAATAATATTGCAGACAAAGTAAACGCAATATTGAGAGATGCATTGCCAGCACTGGGTTACTGCGTATTTTGGGAACATGGGAATTATTTCGTTTCTCCCCGTGAAGGAGACTGCAGTCGTAAATTTGTTCACGACGGAGTTCATCTGAACAGTCAGGGGAATGTTCATTTATATAGGAGTATAAGGGGAGCTTTAATTTCAGCGAGAAAATAGATATACATCTAAGTCATAAAAGTTTGTCACCATTTTGTTACTTTTATTGTTCGTCAATTTTTCAGATAGATATTCTTTGAAATTATACAACATTTTGTTATTTTAACAGTACGATAGGCATTTAGGATGTCTAATAATGTAAAACGGATTTATCCTTTTTCTGTGAAGAAAATTCGGTTGGAAAAAGTATCAGCAAATTTGATTGTTTCGTTGTTGGTTTAATTTTTACAGTACTTTAGGCAGATACTAAGTACAACTTTCAGGCAGTTTTTTGGTACTTGCCAAGTTTCAACCCATTTGGGTTTTTTCATTTTAGTTTCGGCTTTTACCATGCAGATGGCGATTTTTTCCATCGTTTTTCTATTTGATATCTAGGAATGTATTTTAAAGCATTCCAGATTAATCCTTTTTCTGTGAAGTAAATTCGTTGGAAGAATGTCTGCCAATTAGTTTGTTTCGGTATTAGTTGATTACTAAAATATTGTGAATTTTTACAGTACTTTAGGCAGGTCCTAAGTACAAGTTTCAGGCAGTCTTTTGTACTTGCCAAGTTTAAACCCGTTCGGGTTTTTTCATTTTAGTTTCAGCTTTTACCATGCATATGGCGATTTTTTCCATCGGTTTTTATTTGATGTCTATGAATGTATTTCAATGCATTCCAGATCGACTTATCCTTTTTCTGTGAAGGAAAATCGTTGGAAATTGTCTGCCAATTCGTTTGTTTCGGTATAAGTTGATTACTAAAATAGTGTGAAATTCTACAGTACTTTAGGCAAGTCCTAAGTACAAGTTTCAGGCAGTCTTTTGTACTTGCCAAGTTTGTACCCATGCGGGTCTTTTCATTTTAGTTTCAACTTTTACCTCGGCGATTTATTTTCCATCGTTTGTTTATTTGATAAGTCTAGTAGTGCATGTTGATGCCTTCTAGATTTATCCTTTTACTGTATAAAAAGAAAACAATTTGTTGGAAAAATATCTGCCAATTTGTTTGTTTCGGTATTAGTTGATTACTAAAATATTGTGAATTTTTACAGTACTTTAGGCAAGTCCTAGGTACAAGTTTCAGGCAGTCTTTTGTACTTGACATTTAGCCGTTTTGGTTTTTAATTCATGTTAGGCCCACTTTTACCTTGATGATTTTTATATCGATTTCACTTCAAGTTGATTTACCTAATCATGTTCGATTCAATGGTCCAGATTATGGAGGAATTAAAATTAAAAAAAAAAAAAAAAAAAAAAAAAAAAAAAATTTTTTAAAGTACAAGTTTAATGTTTTTATTTGCTAACCCCTTTATATGATATTGAGTCTTGTACAAATAGTTGTTTTTCATTATTCATTTATTAAGGTTTTATTGTTCTGCAACTGCGCTTAGATACATTACAAGCCCTTCAAGTACCTCGTTTGTAGTAGTGATGAAAACAAATAACAACAGCCGAACAGGTTGTTATCTGTGGGAAAGGCACTACAGCCTTCTTGGGAATTTGACACGGTGCGAGGGTTGTCGGCTTCAAAGGTGGTGATTTATAACTTATGTCAACTTTTCGTTTTACGCGGCGGATAGTTCTTACTGATCAGCATCGGCTTAGTGATGTTGACTAATGGCTTTTGCAGTCGCACAATGGACCCCGTGCTTTTATTGGCTTACGGCAATTCGGGAAATACAGATCTGTTCCAAAACACTTTTGGTTCTACTATTTACTCTATTTCCGGAAAATTTTTGTCAACAACTGTAGGTGATACAGGGTGTTTTATCGAAAAGCGGCAGAATCAATGAAGGGAAAAATGAATTGTAAGAAAAGGTTCATCACTTTCTAGTTTGTTGTATTAGATTTACACATTGTACTGAGCGATGAAAGTGGTTATATAATGTAATGTTAAATATCAATATGCTCAAATACGTTGTCATGTAGGCTAACTGACTCTTACAGTTGGGGCCTACACTGGCTACAGTGAGGTCTTACAATTCTTGTTCATTGTCAATTAAGGCCGAAGCCTTTTACAGTTTATATTTATACATAATATATTGGATACATACTTCTTCCTTAATTGTAAATTTATATAGGTATATATTTACCAGCATTATGCCAGGCAAAAGGAATAAAGCCCAACAGTCCAAAACAAGTCAGGTGAAAAGACCACGTCGTGCACAGAACGGAACTGGAGAGTCCAATACCAATGATGCTGTGGCTGTCGATACAAGCACTCAACCCCTTGATGTTCCTCCTGAAACCTTGGCTGCATTAACCCAAACCATAACAAAGGCAGTCACGGAGAAGGTGTTAGCAGAGATAAAACCATTACTGCAACATCAGGGGAGTATCTCTGTTCATAATATGGGGGAGAAAAGGGAAATAATGCTTCCACTACATCAAGCAATAGCTTAACAGCAGGTCCTTCTGGGTCAGTTTGTCAAATAACAAATAAGTCAGTGGATGCAAGTATCTCAGGATTGGTATCAGGTGCTGTAATCGAACACAGTTCACAGATTGTAGGTACTGAACTTCCACCTGCAGCAAATGTCGGTAAGAAATCAGGTTTTGTAAGCTCATCAGTACCGATAGAGGCAACTGTTTCTGACAAAATAAAATCTAAAATTTGGTCAAAACAATATGTTGATATGGCTCTGTTGTTAAAAAAGGAAAAGGGGAAAAGTAAGTATTCTATCAAGGTAGAGGAACAGGATCAGACAGGTAAGGTGGTAATCCACAATATGCGATCCACAGATGACGACGAAGTTAGGGATGGTTCGTTATCCCTGCATGACTGGGTAACTGCGTGGAATAGGTATATGACAATATATTGCATTAAAGATTCACTTGCACAGCCAAAGCTTGCAAAACACATGGAATCAGTAAGGCAAATTGCAGAGGAAAAGGGGGACTGGAGAAAATATGATAAGGAGTTCAGGGAACTCATAGAACAAGGTGAGGTAGAATGGGGTGATGTCCATATGGAGATATATGTTAATGCTCGCCTCAAACAATCAGAAAAGAAGTCAAGCAAAATAACAGCAGACCGTTCGTCATTTGGTACGTATGAGGAAGTTCCTCAGGGCTCATGCTTTGCCTATCACAAAACTGGAAGGTATTGTAGGCTTGGTTCATCATGCAAATTCCAGCACAGATGTTATAACTGTGGTGGTTTCCATCCAATCTATATATGTAAAAAACCAATTCAACGGCCATTTCGTTTCTTGGACAAATCCAGAACCCAAAAACCATTTCAAGGAAATGGCACATCAACCAACACAGGTAATGCTAAATTCTCAAAGCCAACCTATCCCACAAAAGGGTCCAACTCCAGTAAATCCCAGTAAATTAGAGTACTGGTTGGTGGGGTATGACAAGGTAGAAACAGAATTTTTAGTTAATGGTTTTCGATATGGGTTCCACATTGGTTACACAGGGGAAAGTAGAAATACTCTTTCAAAAAATTTAAAATCGGCACTGGACTTACCAGAAGTTATTAGCAAAAAGTTAGAAAAGGAGATAAATTTGGGTAGAATTATGGATCCTTTCAAAGGGAAACAACTGCCAATTATAAATTGTTCCCCTTTAGGTCTAGTTAGCAAGAAAACAGAGTGTGAGTACTGTATGATCCATCATTTGTCATATCCGGAAGGTGAGTCTGTCAATGATGGCATACCCGAGGAAGAGTCATTTGTTCAATACTCTTCTGTAGAGGATGCTATTCAAAACATTAAGCAGTGTGGGAAAGGATCATATTGTTGCAAAACAGATATTTCTAATGCATTTCGAATTATCAACTTACATGCATCACAGTTTGAATACTTTGGTTTCACTTGGCAAGGTCATTGGTATTTTGACACATGTCTTCAGATGGGTTGCAGTTCTTCCTGTCGTATATTTGAAAGGTTTAGTACAGCACTTCAGTGGATTGCACAAGAAAAATTAGGAATTAAATTTATGACTCATGTATTAGATGGTTTTCTAATTGTTGACAAATCTGCGACAGAGTGCCACAAAAAACTTGTGGCATTTTTAACAGTTTGCGCCGACATAGGTGTACCTATGGCTAAGGATAAGACATTTGGTCCTAACAAGGTAATGACTTTTCTGGGATATGAATTAGACACCGAGATGATGGAGGCAAGGTTACCTATTGATAAAGTTAAAAAATGTAGAGATACAATTGAACAGCTTTCACCAAGCAGAAAGATTACTTTGAAGGACATGCAGTCAGTGATTGGTCTTCTTAATTTTGCGTGTAATGTAGTCTTGCCAGGTAGAGCGTTCTTAAGGCGACTTATCAACACTACTGTTGGCGTTACAAAAGCATATTATCGCATTAGACTAAACAAAGAAGTAAAAGCAGATTTATGTACTTGGTTAGCCTTCTTGGAAAAATTTAATGGTAGGTCAGTTTTCTTACCAGATAGGTGGGTTGATTCCAATGAATTAAAACTGTATACAGACGCTTCAGGATCTATAGGATACGGGGCAGTGTTAGGTGGGCACTGGTTCTATGGGACTTGGAATGATAATTGGAAAAAATGTAATATTACTCTCTTGGAATTTTACCCAATAGTGTTAGCTCTTAAAGTTTGGAGTCATATTTTTAAAAACAAATGCATTTACTTTTACACAGACAATTATGCCCTTGTGCATATCATTAACAAGCAATCGTCTAAGGATAAAAGTATAATGTATTTGGTTAGAGAGTTAGTGCTAATTTGTTTGCAGTCTAACATTTTGTTTAAAGCTAGGCATCTGGGTACCAAGGAAAATATTCTATGTGATTGCTTGTCTCGTTTGAAGGTGCAGCAGTTCCATCAACTTGCTCCTTGGATGGACAAAGAACCAACGGTGATTCCCAATCTGCCAACATTACCTCCTTAGAACCAGTCTTGAGGAACCTGTTGACTTCAACATTGGCACCAGCTTCCACTCAAGCATATAAACGGGCATGGTCTATTTATAGAAATTTTGCAAACAAATTTGATATGAGTAATGATCTTCCGTTGTCTCAGGAAACTTTGGCTTTGTTTATCTCTTATTTATTTGCTGAAGGTTATGCAGCCTCCTCTATCGTGTCATTTATTTCATCAATAGCATATATACATAAAATTAATAATTTGCCTGACAATACATCATGCTTTCTCATTCAGAAACTATTAAGTTCCTGTCGCAAATCAAGACCTTCAATGGATATTCGTTTACCAATAACCATAGTAGTTCTGCATAAAATTTGTGATGCTTTAGAACATACAATATTGAACATATATAAAAGGGCATTATTTCAAACAATGTTTTTATTGGCTTTTCACGGCTTCCTCAGAATAGGAGAGATAACATCAGTTGGCACTGCTAATAAGGTTTTACAAGTTTCACAGATTACTTTTCAAAAAAGTAAAGTTTTGATTCACTTTCAAAATTATAAACATTCTGATGGTAAAGTTTTTACTCTTACAATCAATTCTTGCAACTCTTTAAAATATTGTCCAGTGGGGGCATTAGAACACTACATTAAGATGAGAGGGAGGACCGATGGGCCCCTTTTTTGCTACCCCCAAAACACTGCAGTCACAAGGCAAGAATTTTCAAACATATTAAAGCAAAGCCTCATGTTTTGTAATTTGGATGTCAATAGATTCAAAGGACATTCCTTTCGAATCGGAATGGCCTCTTACTGTGCATCACGAGGAATGAGCGATAGTCAGATTAGATTCCTGGGTAGATGAAAATCGGATGCATTTAAATATTATATAAGACATGTGACACCATGTTGATATATGCTTGAGTGGAAGTGGATCCTCGGAGCAGATTTGTTTTGTTATTTGTGTAGGATCTCGACTTTGAAGTGATTTTCAAGAGTATTAACGTATGGGGGCATATTTATCCCTCATCCAGAACAATAGTGCCTAAGTCATTTGTTAATACTTAGGCTGGTAGGTGACAAGATCGCGTGCATATAAACATTTAAAATGGTGCGGAAGCTTACAGTGTTAAATATTTTCCAATATGGGGGCATATGTCTATCCCTCATCTAAAACATTGCTCGAGACAGTCCTTAAATGAATACCACATACATGTGAACTTAGTAAAAAACAGCGAATAAGATGATGATTTGCGACTATAAGGGCATATGTTTATCCCTTATCGGACATTCTACATAGTGATTCGTTAAATGAAGTTTGTTTAATTTATTTTATTTATTCATCATTATTAATTATCAAAACATTCTATAAAATCATCATAAAATACAGATGAAGTTTATGAACTTCTTCACCTTGCATTATGAGTAATCCTTTAGTTGCGGAGAAACACATGGAGATGGACTAAATAAATTGTAAATATGTGTGATATGAAAGTGAAACAGTGTTATTTCATATATAATGTGAAAATCAGTGCTGCTAATCATTAGAACTTCAAGATGATTTATAGTTTTTAATATGTTTTTGTAGTAGAGGTACTTTTATTTAAAATAATTAAAGTTGGAGTGATTTTAAATGAAATAAAATAAATATTAAATATAAATTAATTAAACTAAATAAACTGTTAAATATGTTATAAATGATAGTTTTCCGTTAAAGCTATATTCTTTTCTTTCTTTACTAACTTGGGTATTTAGTTATATAGTTATACGCCCCTTTGGATCCACACCTGTACATACACTTTTTATACATGATCACACGCATAGCTATTGGTCAAGTTTTGAAATGCTTAGTTTTCATTGGTTAGTGTTTTGGTCTTTGTGGTGTAGGGAGTTTTATTCAGTTTAGACTCTGAAATTTTGATTTTGAATGGAGAAGACGTAATTTACTTTGTTTGCTGACTGTTATTTATTTCCTAAGACCTTGAGACCTAAGACACTTCCAGAAATGTAAGTTTTTACTTGTTTTATGCTACAAAATATGTTTTCTATAATATTTAGTTAAAAATGTGGAAAACAACAGGCGCGGATCCAGGATTTGGAGTTAGGGGGGGCGCCAAAATTAGGCAAGGGGTCTGGGGGCCGCCTTGAGGCCCCCAGTGGGTCCAGGGCAAAGCCCTGGTGGGGGCTCAGGGGGCGAAGCCCCCGGAAGCTCCTGGATTCTAGAGATTTTGAAGGGTTAAAATGAGGTCTACCAAAGCCCTGGTGGGGGCCCAGGGGGCGAAGCCCCCGGAAGCTCCTGGATTCTAGAGATTTTGAAGGGTGAAAATGAGGTCTACCAAGTAGACATATTTGATTTACGCTAACTTTGACAATTTTAGGGGGGGGGGGCGCGCGCCGGGTGCGCCCCCCTTAAATCCGCCACTGAACAAGATATTTTACTTTTAATTGTTAACATATTGAGTTATCTGTCTATCTATTCAGATATTGATAAATCTGATGGAATTTTTCTTGTAAATTAATTTGTATATAAACCTAGATATAATTTGAAGTGAAGATTTTGATAATGAAGATAATTTAAATAATTATTTATTTTGAGAAAGGTATTTGTATAGAGCAAGTCCTTAGTACTATATTTATTGTACATAGGTAACACCATAAAATAAAGATATGTAAACTTGCATTGGAGACAGTTCAATTCCATAGATTGGTATGTCTATCTGTATATATATTTTTATGATTTGTAAAGAAATATCAAAGAAAGATAACTCTTCACAAGATTGTAAAGTGTAATTGCATTATAAGAGTTATTTCCCTTATATCATGGGTAAAATATATTTCATGTGCTATCATTGTGAATGATGATAATTAATTGTAATAGGGAAGACAGATAATTTGTTATATTTTATAATCGGAATGTTTAATTGAAATACTATTTTGTATATATTTTTATGACGCAATTTGTATATTGCAGGACTTCCTTATTATATTCCATTATTCCAATCAACTAAAGATATCATCAAAATGAACGTATAAATTATCAAGTGGTGTTTTCCATCATATGCCGGGAATACCCGCTACATTTTGTGCTTGTAAAATTATTTATTTAAAAAAAATGTATAAAAAATATTTATTCGTAATAGTGATCAAATTAAAAAAAAAGAAAAATACATTTTATTTTGTTTCAATTCTGGTAGACTATACATACAGGTATATCTACCTGTATCCCTAAGAGGGCCCCTTAATTGAGTACGTGTGATAATTACTTGTTTTTTTTTTTCGAGTAGCCATTCGGAGAATAAACCCAGAATTGAACCTGTCACGTAATGATTAACACTCTGACATTGCGGTTTATTCCCCGAACCCAATTCTGACTGCGGGACGTGGACAGACCTTATGGAAAAGGAATTCATCCCATATAGACAGCGTTCCTCTCAGAAACTGTACTATAGAGTAGGGAAATCTCACAACAGTGTTCATTAGTGTGTAATTAACATATCGGCAATATTTTGGTTAAAACTTATGAACTATATAAAGATAAGAAACAGTGTTAAAGACAACAAAATCTGGATTCTACATTGTAGATTGAGGTATATACCCCGGTACAAAGAAAAACCCGCTAATGAATTCCATTCAAGTAGAATTAAGCTAGGAACTAAATTCCGTGTGGCGGAAGATTTTTTTTTTCAAAATTAAAGAAAATGATCACGCAGTGTTTTTCCCTTTTGAACTATAAAGGTTTACAGTATACTGTTAATTTTAGATTCCTATTTACCATGCTGGTACTCATTAAGCTGTTTTTTTAGGCAGTGAAATAATTATGTTATATTGTTTTTTCTGAAATATCTATTAAATTATTTCTTTTGAATTCATTCAACAAAGTGTAACAAAGATATTAGAATATAATTATTATGAAATCTCGGGAAATAATTGAGCCAATTCTAACATAAAATTATACACTTTTTAGTACATGTAATATATAATATCTGATAATTTACATCATATATAGCCCCACTTTTGATGTTTTTTTTTTTAAATATTTAAGATTACTTTGACCCATTTGCTTAAATTCAGAAAAAGCTTAAACTAAAAAAAATCTTGCTTATTAAATTTTCAATGCCAGAAAAATAACATTTAATCAGTGCAGAAAGGTCAAATAATTGATTATGCGAAGCACTTTGAATAGTAATTTTTGATAGTCATAATTATAAAGTGTCTTTTTAAAAAAATACACTTAGAGTACATTTTGTTTCATGCTTTTTAAAATTGTGTAAAAACATTAGAGGGAAAACGTCGAAAATGTATTTTTAAAATGAAGACAAAATTTCAGTGCAAAAAACACGAAAAAATCATATTAAATGTACTGTATCACCAAATGAAGTATATCGACCTCCAGTTGATCTGATTTTTAATTAAGTTAAGTATGTAGAAACTAAAAAAATATAATAGGTAAAACAAGTTTAAGACAGTCACTTTAAATATCAGGATCGAACGTCGATAAATGGAAGTATGATTGTATTCGATTCAATAACTGTCAAATTTAGTACATAAAATCTAAAATATAAATTCAAGTCATTACGTCACACTAACAGAAATAGTAAATTTTAAAATAAACTTCCACATACCAATTTGTAAGTATTTTATTCTAGTAGTTCTTCAAAGAAAAGAAAATCAAACCAAAAAACATTATTTATATCCCTGAAATTTTCTTTCCACTCCCTGACGTTCTCCTAGGATTCCTATGATGTCGTTGTCCATCCACTCTCAGAGTTCCCTGACTATCCTGTCCACTCCCTTTCGTCCCCTGTCGTTGTCCCTGTTTACTCTAACTTCATCCTGTCGTCCTTTGGCATTTATTTTGGCCAAGAAAAGATTTTAAATATATTCTTTTTGCAAATTGGGAGTGAAAATGCCATTGACTTGAAAATTCTCAAGTTTTGTAAAGTTCTAAAGTATTAATTGTTTAAGTTTTGAAGTTATTCGGAAAAATCTAACTGCAAACATTTTATTCCGAAGATAAAATATATTTCCAAATGTGAAATTAAGCCAGGCGGTACATGAATGTATTTCATAAACCTTTTATTATATTTTTTCGTTTTTTTTTCATTTCTTTATCGTATTACTTTGACATTTCTTTTAACGTTATAGCTGATTATGTAAAAGAACTAAATTTAAATATTCTCGAGTAAATTATCAAATCTATGCATTGTACGTAATTTTCTTCATGCAGAAAATATCTTATACAAACGTTGTTCCATAGTTAGGAGAATTTAAACAGAAAGGAAGTTGGGAGCTTCAGTCGAACTTGAGAATTTATTTTAAATGGCGGTCTCAAAGAAAGAAACCCCTGTCAATGAACAGGAGAATGATACATGCCACTGTCCAATATGTCTAGAGAAGGTAAGAAAACCGAAGTATTTGTCGTGTTACCACACCTTTTGTGAGGCGTGTATTGGGACTTACATTTCAAGTACGGCTACACATAAAGAAAATGAAACATTAAAGTCAATCGAATGTCCCGTGTGTCGTACGTGTATCAAGGCGCCGAAGAATGACATTTCGGACGAGGAGTGGGCATCAGAACTACCCCAGAATAAACTCGTACTTAGTGTGTCTGTAGATCCCGAGCAAGATGAAAATAAATATTGTATGATTTGCAAACGACTGGAGAAAACCGTTTCTGCAAAATACTGGTGCAAAGCATGTATGGAAGCTATTTGTGAAGATTGCAAATCATTGCATAGAGCTGTGCCAATTCTGAAGAGTCATAAAATTGTAAATCTTTCCGACATCAAGGAGATGAACAATGAAGTTGAGATAGAAGAGTCTTGCAATTTGCATGAAGGGAAAATACTCGATGTGTTTTGCCACGATCATCAAGAGCTATGTTGTAGTGTTTGCCATGTCAAGCAGCATAAATTGTGCAAGCATGTGGACACAGTTGAAGATATTGCTTTTGAGACAGACAGAAATGCCATGCAAAACATTGCTTTAAAATATGGTGATCTGGAGAAGATTCTCGAAGATATGCTGTCAGAAAACCTAAATAAAACAGAAAAACTCAATACCAAGAAGCACGAAATTTGTATGAACACGGAAGAAAAAGTTGAAGAAATCAAATCTCTAATGGAGAATGCACATGCAAAGTGGCTTAAACGATTTGAACAGAATCATGCTGATTCCATTGGAAACATTGAAATTGCATCTGATGAGCTGAAACGTTTTTCCACTACAGTTCATGAAGTTAGGATGATTCTTAACTCAGTGTTAAAATGTGGGTCTTCAAAACAATTAGTCATAACAAATCATAAACTGAAAAAGCAGATTTCTGATCACATCACTCGTTTAAGGTCTTTGGATGTTTGGAATTTTTCTGAAGATTACAAGCAGCACAACTTGGATTTTTTTGGTCAGATTTCCAAGACAAAAGAGTTTGAAGACGTAAAACTGACTAAACAACAATCATGGATAGTGGAGAGAATTATGTGTAGTACTCCAGAAAAAATTGATGAAGACAATATTATACAGAGGAGAAAAACTATGGCTAGAAAAGACTGGATGAACGTTGGCTTTAGAAAATTATCACAAATCAACGGTTTGTCAGAAAGAGTATTTTATGGCTTGTTTATACATGACACAAGAATACTGTTATCTTTGACTAGCCCACCTTCGCTGAAGATTTATGATATCAGTAATTCCACTGGAAAATGCAAACACACTGAGGTGTGTCAGGATAAACCATATGGTCTTTGTCACTCCGGATTGTGCTTGAATGAAGTATTTGTTTCTTTTGAAAACTTCATCTGTCATTATCGAATTGAGTTCAACGGAGAAACTGCGAGTTGTTTAAAACTTGGAATAATTCACTTGAAAGAACCCATGATAGCTATATCCCGTGGACCAACAACAGCGTTTGCTGCCAATCGTTCTAAGAGGATGATCTGTTCATTGAACTTTTGCATAAATCATACTTCAGCATATAAACCTAGTGGATCAGTGCCTTTTGTGTCCTCGTCGTTGATATCAGACTTTCATTGTTTCATACAAGAAAGGATAGTAAAGGTTGTGGATAAGAATAACGAAGATATTCTTGACAGTCCTCGAGATTCAAATCTCAGGGGACTCACCTTTGACCTTCAAGATAATATTTTGGTTTGCGATAAGACATCAAAATTAGGACAGGTTAAGCATGGAGAAGGAGAGAGAAGGAATATTAGTTTGGCGGACATTACCGAAAGTTACAATGTAATAATGCATCCGACAGGAGAAAAGATAATGGTGTTAGACAATACAGCAAAATGTGTTGTTTACCAAGTATGCTAAAACTGGGTGGATTGTCGCAGTCGCAGTTCTCAAACTGTGAAAAAAATCGAATGAAAGGCTAATTAGCTAACAAAAGCTCACTTTGCACGTCTTATGCTGCAATATATTTGATACATTGCAATGAATAATAAACATATTATATGATACTAAAATACACATTGTGTTATATTATTTTAGGTATACTCATATATGCAAAGGACAATTTAATTTGTAAATTCTGCATTTTTAATACCAAACATAAAAATGATATATAGGCTATAGCCGCAAAAGCAAAAATATATAAGATATATTTCCTTCCCAATAATAGCAAGGAAATAATTAAATGAATAAGCAAGCATCCGAAGATAGGGTAGATTTTTTTTATAATTTGTTTAAACCATGATCCCTAGGGTGGGACTAGAATAGAGATCCCAACCATGGTCGTGCTAAAACTGTCTTAAAAATTAAAAACATAACATTGCGGAGAAACATGTGGAGATGGACTAAATAAATTGCAAATATTGTAAATATGTGTGATATGAAAGTGAAACAGTGTTATTTCATATATAATGTGAAAATCAGTGCTGCTAATCAATAGAACTTCAAGATCATTTAATATTTTTAATATGTTTTGTGCTTGTAAAATTATTTATTTAAAAAATATGTATACAAAATATTTATTCATAATAGTGATCAAATAAAAAAAAAAGAAGAAAAATACATGCATTTTTTTTGTTTCAATTCTGGTAGATTATACATACAGGTAAGTCTACCTGTAACCTTTAACGGGCCCCTTTATTGAGTGTGACAATTACTTGTTTTTAGCTCAACTCAACGAAGTTGGGGGAGCTTATGTAATACCCTCGGCGTCGGTGTCGGTGTCAGCGTCGGCGTCCCGGGTTAAGGTTAAGTTTTTTGGAGCAGTTTTCTTTTTAGTTACTCCTATGTCCTATATTGATAAGACATGCATAGAAGATGTTTCTAGTGGGTTTCATTGTACCAGTCTGAGTTTCAGATGCTGCAATTTCAGCAAAGGAATGACCAGGTTAATGTTTTTGGAGCAGGTTAACATTTTTGGTGCAGTTTTTGGTGTAGGTCTCATTTCCGAGTAACTATAAGCCGTATATTGACCAAACTTGCAGGGATGATACATCTAAGGATGCACATTACAAGGCTTGCTTCGGATGCTGAATCTGACTTACATTTTCCGGTTGAGTGAACAGGTTAAAGTTTTTGGTGCAGTTTTCATTTCAAAGGTACTATAAACCCTATAATGACCAAACTTGCATGAATGGTACATCTAGGATGCATATTACCCGACTTGCTTCGGATGCTGAATCTGACCTTCATTTTCCGGTTGAGTGAACAGGTTAAAGTTATTGGTGCAGTCTTCATTTCAAAGATACTGTGAGCCCTATAATGACCAAACTTACATGGATGGTACATCTTAGGATGCATACTACCCGACCTGATTCGGATGCTGAATCTGACTTACATTTTCCGGTTGAGTGAACAGGTTAAAGTTTTTGGTGCAGTTTTCATTTTAAAGATACTATGAGCCCTATAATGACCAAACTTGCATGAATGGTACATCTTAGGATGCATATTACCCGACTTGCTTCGGACGCTGAATCTGACCTACATTTTCCGGTTGAGTGAACAGGTTAAAGTTTTTGGTGCAGTTTTCATTTCAAAGATACTATGAACCCTATAATGTCTAAACTTGCATTGATGGTATATAGATGCATACTACCGACTTGTTTCAGATGTTGGATCTGACCTACATTTTCCGGTTGAATGAACAGGTTAAAATTTTGGGTGCAGGATTCATTTCCAAGTAACTTTGAGCTCTACAGTAACCAAACTTGCATGGATTATAATTCTAAAGGTGCATTCTACCAGGCTGGCTTCAGATGCTGAATCTGACATACATTTTCTGGATTAGTGAAAAGGTTATTTTTTTATACCCCCCGCTTGAAAAGCGGGAGGGTATATAGTAATCGTTAATTCCGTCCGTCCGTCCGTCCGTCTGTACGTCCGTCTGTCCGTCCGTCTGTTACGCTTTGGGGTACCCATCTCTTATCCGTAACTCCTCTCATACCACTGAATGAAATTTGATGAAACTTTCACAGAATCTTTATTACATATTGCCATTGTGCACCTCCTATTTTACTTTTTGATCCGACACATATTTTGGGTTTCCCGGCCACAGGAAAACATGGACTTTTTCACCACTTATAACCATAGGGGAGGCGGGGGGTATCATTTAGTGAGCTCATCGCTCACAGTACCTCTAGTTTATACAGGTTTCATTTCCAAATAAATTTGATCGATATTTTAAGCAGACTTGCATAGATGATACATCTTAGGATGCACACTAATGTTCAGTTGCTGAATTTGACATACATTTTCAAGATAATGGACATGGTTAAAGTTATGGGTGCAGGTCTATTACAAGAAACTATAAGGCTTATATAAACCAAACTTGCACAAATGATGCATCAAGGGATGAAAACTCTCAAAGTTGCTTCAGAAGCTGGATTTTAATTAGGTTTTCATGTTGAAGAACTAGTTTGAAGTTTTTATATAGGCCTATTCCAAAGTATCAAATCAAAATTTCATAAATTTTGCATTTTTGGATGTACACTTTTTGTTGGTTAATTGTGTGACTTTGCCTTACTTAAAGACAACATTCGTTGAGGTGAGCTCTGTAATCTTTGATTACCTATGTTTTTTTTGAGTAGCCATTCGGGGAATAAACCCAGAATTGAACCTGTCACGTAATGACCAAACACTCTGACATCGCGGTTTATTTCCCGAACCCAATTCTGACTGCGGGACGTGGACAGACCGCTTAGGGATTTGTGGAAAAGGAATTTATCCCAAATAGACAGCGTTCCTCTCGGAAACTGTACTACAGAGTAGGGAAATCTCACAACAGTGTTCATTAGTGTGTAATTAACATATCGGCAATATTTTGGTTAAAACTTATGAAGGATATAAAGATAAGAAACAGTATTCAAGACAACAAAATCTGGATTCTACATTGTAAATTGAGGAATATACAAAGAAAAACCCGCAATTGAATTCCATTCAAGTAGAATTAAGCTAGGAACTAAATTCCGTGTGGCGGAAGATTTTCTTTTAAAAAAAATTAAAGAAAATGATCACGCAGTGTTTTTCCCCTTTGAACTATAACTGTTTACAGTAGTGTTAATTTTAGATTCCTATTTACCATGCTGGTACTCACAAAGCTGTTTTTTTTTGCCGTGAAATATGTTACATTGTTTCTCTATAAATATCTATTAAATTATTTCTTATGAATTCATTCAACAATTAAATGTAACAAATACGAGGGTTGTCCCAAAAAGTCGTAGACAGGTAAAACAGTTTTGTTTCTCTTTGCTTTATTAAATTTCTTTCCTTGTCATAGCAAAAAGTACCATTTTATCATCATGCACTTCAAGTTTCATTATTATATCACCTCTTACAAGAAAATTATGAAAAAATAAAGAAAGAATATAAGTGTACACCGGCGCACGAAAGCAAGCGTAAATTACGTCTCTTATAACGTCATGATCTCTTTGTCTGCTTCACTAGCGGGTATTAACATTCAATATTTTTTTTAAGTGAAAGACCACTCTTGATTAACGGACATATTTAAATTCACTACTCTCCTTTTGTTTTTTACTTGTTTTTTTTAAAAGCAGATTCAAAATTCAGTAGAAATTTAGTCGAAAGATCGCCTTACATTGTAGGCAGCAGAGAATTCTAATTGTTTGACGTCGTCCGAGGTTCAGATTTTTCCAAACTGTCTGCGTTTATCAAACAGTACTCTACTTCTTACATGCCGTAATTAACTATTTTCGGTACAGAAGAAAAACTCTCATTGAATACGTGCAATTTAAAAATAATTTCTTTATTAAAATCTGGTGTGTAATGTCACATCTGTATTCTTTTTTTCCATCTCCGATGTATATTAACCATATCCAACACAATTTATTACATCTCCGTGCGCCGACTACGCGTTTGACGACGACATTTTCATCAAACTCAATTTCAACGATTCTATGAAAATCATGACACCAATCGTCTGTTTCTGATGATATTTATATGAAATTTTGACATAATATTACGATTTTTATTCTGGTTTCAGATATTTAAATTTGAGTTCAATGTATAATATAGTACGAAAGATTGATTGATTGATTGATTGGTGTTTAACGCCGAGTCGGCAATATTTCAGCCATATTTCGGCTAGTACGAAAGAAATAAAAGCAAATGTAATAGTTATATGCGTAAATTATTCCGAATTTTGTCCGTGCGCCGACAGGCCTTATCGGCCTTCACTTAAATCGTCCCAATATTATTAATATAAAAGATATGTATTTAAAAATTCACAATTCTAAAGAATATTGACTATTTTACTTTTTTCCAAAATTTGGTAAGTATTGGTTGCATGATTAAAAAATTATAAACATTGTCTACGACTTTTTGGGACACCCCTCGTATATTAAAATATATTATGAAATCTCGGGAAATAATTGAGCCAATTTTAACATAAACTAGGGCTAATTGTAACGGGGACCGTTACAGATGTTCCCCAAACGCTCCCCATGTCCCTTTTCGTACCATAGCTTTTCCTGTAACACCTTTTATAAATATACTAAGTATTTAAGGATTTCATTTAAAGATATAAAAGTTACAATGATATCAACAATATATCGTTTAACGTTTTGCATTGGCGCACACGTACATGTACATGCATATGCAAGATGATCATGACATGTTGGTTAAGCGATTAACACATCTTTCTATCCCGCGAATAATAGAAAAATACAGATATAAAGTTACCACATTTCAAGTATATATCATTTCTTGAAATACCTATTCACATTTAAATTCTCTACTGATTTTAACCTCGGGTTCAAAGTTGGTTTTATTCCTACGACAAGGCAGTGTTGCAGGTGTCATAACAGTATTACACTTTGGTTCACGTCAAATCATGGCTAACGGAAAATAATCCTGGAATCTTCCCTTCCGATTCAGGCATTTTGATACGAGACTGGAGCTGAATTTTTTTTATGAGATGAAAAACAACATGTAAACTTCCTGTATTGACCAGATTTATTTAAATTTAGGGCGTGCTGATTTTTCTATATACTGTCAAGA